CGCAGCCACGGCCCGGCGAACGAATAAAGAAGAGATTGTCAGTCTCTGCGTATGCTAATCTTTGTAACACCGAAGATAACGCGAAACACGTTCATACGTATGAATTGTAGTGGTGCTGATAGTGGTGGAGCTCTGGTGGGAGCAAGCTGGACGCCAGCGGCAGACATGACGCACCGCAAATGCAAGCGCAACACATAGTTGCAAGCTCCATCGCAGGCGAGAAACGATGCGATATATAGGACGAGGTGCTCGACCAAGCAGCCGATAGCGCAAATACCGCAATGCACCTTGCTGCGTCCTGGGCGTCCAGTGATCTACGCCAGCCCTCGCAGGCATGGTACACTACGAACATCTGGGCAACGATGACGTACTGCTATACAGCTTGACACCGCTTGTGCTCCTGGCGCCAGAAGGGTTTGAGGTTGACTGTCGGGTGCATTTTGTCGGGCGAGCGGATGGGGAGGTCAAAATTCCACTGTTTTCTTGCACATACAGCGTTTGGTGTGGTATATCGCATCCAGCGGCTTCACCGGTAACCACACCGTCGACTCGAATATTTCTGGTCGACCCTCAGAAGCTGCTCGGCTTTCAAATGCTCAACGTGACGGACTGTGGTATGGTAACGACCTTATCACAGGTCTCCCGTGCGTGCGACGATGTTGGACGTGCCGAGTGAGTCTGTGACTCCTTACACCCCGCCTGTCAACGCAAAACATACGAAACGGGGCCATACTCCCTAAACCTCAGCGTATGCAAGTAGAACCGTCCACAAAATCTAGTGACTGCTCAAACCCTGGCAAGGGATCCTGTACAGTCCCATTTGAAGAGTCTTCCCGCCGAACGATCTCCAACGATCAAGCACGACGCTTTGTCCCGGCCCCGTGTTGAAAACCCGGTGTATGCGACGCTTCACGAGGGTGTGTGTCTAGTCGTGCCGTTGGCGGTCTCGGATCGGTGTCTGCTGCTGCGAATCCCACAATGAGCGGATGGATTTGAGGTCGTTTGCCTCATACGAGCGAGCTGCTTCCTCCTGCACAAGCGAGGTACATGTAAAGCGACGGGGCGCCGCTCGCTTCAACACGACTGAACCAGAGGCCATTTGATACCCGTGTCAAAACCACGACTCAATCTTGCCTTCAAGCACACGCAAGAAATGCCTGGTGTCGTCACGCCGTCATGTTTCAGATGCTGACGCTCCGAATTGATGACGCCCACAGCACATTCGTCTGGTTGCCGGCTTGGCTCGCCGGATGTCGCTGCACGGGCTACTCCAAGCGGCGAGCTCAAGCGGCGCCTTGCAGGACGATGCCAGAATGCTCATGACGTGGCGCGCTCTGGTCGCGTCGATGACGAAACGGGCGTCGCGTATCGCAGCCATTCAATCGCGGCGCGCAATTGCGCGTTTGTGGGTACAACACGCACCCTCGGTCCTCCATGGGCGCGTCAACGATGATTATGCAAGATATTCTGTCGGTAAATGGGCCAAAAATCCAAAAATCACAAGATTTTCAATCTATGACATCCTGTCCTTTTGCTCGTGCGTTGTGCGGCGACCCGTGGACGCGCAAACAACTCGGGCCATAATTATACTTCGCGCACCGAAGCCCAGAATTCGGCGACATCGCTCCAGCGTGTGACATTGGTCATAGTTTTGGCATAGACCTCTCTTTTTCGATAGCTTGCGGTAAAACATCACAACATTCGGCAGTTGTGTGTTGAAAAACCTTTGTAAATATATATACTGTGAGACAGGATATCATGTCTATTTGAGGCGCTTGGTCAGCTGGAGTGACGATCCATACAAAAGCCAAGTGGAAGTATTTTGGAATTTGCCATGTTCAAGTTCTGCCCCGAGTGTGGCGTCAAGTCGACGGCCGCGAGCTCCAAGTTCTGCTCCGAGTGTGGCTTCCGGTACGAGGCGACCGGTGGGCTGCCGCCGGCGGCGCCGGCCAAGATGCTCGATACGAGCTTCCAGCCGCCGCCGCCGCCACCGCCGCCGATGGCCATGCCCGTCTACAGCGACATCCCGCAGGCGCGTGTGGTCAGCATCGTCGTGCCCGCCGCCGCGACCGGCGCCGAAGCCCAAGCGCTCTATGGCCAGTGCCTCGACACGATCCGCAGTGCCAAGGGCGGCAGCAACGAGGCCGGTGTCCGCGCCTTCAAGGACAACTGCCGCGCGTACGGTCTCGGCGAGATGAACGCATCTGCGTTCCATAGCTCGCTCGTGAATGAGCTTGGCGGCTCCACGACGTCGGCGTTCTTGCCGCAGCTTGTGCGTCTCATTCCGGACGAAGGCAAGCGCCGCGCCTTGCTCGAGTTCGACCAGCAGGCGCTCGGCGGCGACCGCGACTCGCTCTTTGGCGCGCCCACGTCCACCAACTCGATCTCGTCGCGCTCGAGCTGGGAGAGCAACCCGGACACAGCGCAGTTCTCCAACTCGAAAGTGTACGGACGCCTACAATCGGTCTCGACCGCCGTCTCATCTGTCGACATACATGCAGGAACCCGAATGCCAAGCCGGGCATGCTCAACAGTCGCTACGCCGACCACCCGAACTGTGATATCTGCAACGTCTCGTTCACTGTGACGAACCGCCGTCACCAATGGTGCAGATCCAATCTCTATCGATTGGGCTCATTTCGCTGGATACATGTAGCCGCTCGTGCGGGCTCTTTGTCTGCAACTCGTGCTCGCCCATGAAGCTGCTCATTCCCATGGGCCAGCAAGTCCCGGGCGCCAAAGGCTACTCTGTGAGCGAGCCCCAACGCGCCTGCATTCAATGTGCGCCGCGCTTGCACCCGCTGCAAGACGAGCTGAGTACGTATCATCGCCACTACGATGTGACGCTTATAGTGACGGTACCTAGTTCAACAATATGGCAGCTTTCAGAAGGACAACGAGCACAAGGCAGCCTTCCGCATTCACGCGTATGTTGCTGTGTATTTCGAGCCGATCTCACCGTCTCTGTGTCGAATAGCCCGTACAGCTCCAACCTGGAGAAGGAGTGCCGCAACGCCGCCGATATCATTGGTATCACTTCGTAGTAGTCGTTCCATAGGTGCTCAACGTGCGACTAGGCAACTTTTTCCGAAACGAGTGGGGCGCCGACCAAGACCGCCGTATTCCCGTAACCTTTCTCGAGAAGGCTCAAGGGCTGGCGATCATGACGGTCCTCCGCGTCGGCTTTCTTGTCTCGGGCTCGGCGGGCACTGGCCTTGTCGTGAGCCGTCTCCCGAACGGTCAGTGGAGTGCGCCGTCGGCCATTGGCACCGTGGGTACGAACCGTGCGTCAAATTTGGCGAAGCTCACCCGCTCACAGGTCTCTCGGGCGGCTTTGAGATTGGTGGCGAGCTTGCTGAAATCATGATCATTCTGTACGTTGCATCTTGCTTTTGAGTCTCATGTGCATATTCGCTGCGCGTAGCGGCTCGCAAGGCGCTGTCAAGGTCTTTGAGAAGCCCCAAGTCAACGTCGGTGCGGGTCTCGACTTAACCGTCGGGCCCTATGGTCGTGCGGCAGCGGCCGCCGCCGCCGTCGGGCCCGCCGGTCTCGGAGCCAACTACAGTTACTCGCACAGCCGCGGTTTGTACGCGGGTATCTCGCTCACGGGCACGGTGATTGCGGCGCGCAAGGACCTCAACACCAAATTTTACGGTCGCGAAATCGAGCCCGGGCTCATCTTGAACGGCACGGTACGCATCAACCAAAATGTTGTACAAGCATATGGACAAGTGGCGTTAGGTCGAGCAACCGAACGCGGCGCGCCCCTTGTACGAGGCGCTGGAGCGCGCCATGCAGGGTGTTGAAGAACACAAGGTAGACACATTTTGCTGGCAAGGAAAAGCAAGCCCAGCGCTGTGGTAGATGCAAGATGCGCGGCGGTCGGAGATTATGGGGAGCTGCCGGTCGTGCGGCTGCCCGCGGTTTGTGCCGCACACGGCGCAAGTCTGGAACAAGAACTGCAAAACGTGCAAGCACATTCACTAAGGCGTGACAACAGTAGTATATATAAGTGTATATAGACATGCGTTGTCGACTCTTGTTATTTGCAAGGTTTTAGCAACGATCCACACATAATTAGAAACCCTTGCTTGCATATTCTCCACATGCGGACTGGACTGTACACCGGTGGACCGCACTGCAGACCCAAACGAAACGGCTGGCCGTTTCATGTGACAGGGCCGAAACGCACGGTCGGAGCCAAGACCCACAGCAGCGTCCCGATTTCTTGTTTAATGGTAGACATGTCGCGTCGCTAGCAAACGAAGCGTCGTCTCGACCTTGCTCGCTCCTATGGCACAGTTCTGGCGTCAACGCCATGGTGTCCATCCACCAAAACCTAGTGCATAGTAGTGCACGGCCCGTATAACGACAAAAACCGTAGTGTTTGGGGTTTTAGGCTTTAAACACGAGGATTTGCATTTACACTTAATATGCTGACAAGTACGAATCGATTTAGCACGCAGGCTTGGGGTTGACCGGCTTGAGCTTGCCGCCCTCAAACATGTTGGCGACATCGACACGGCCGAAACCGTAGCGGTTGTTGGGGAACGAGGCGTCCGAGACACCGCCGCAGTTGGGCGCACCCGGGAGCGTCGCGTTGGCCTTACCGACCCACGTGGCAGGCTCGGGCGTCAACGTCTTGGTGTAGGCGTACTTGGTGACGTAGGCGTACACTTCCTCGTAGGTGAGGTCGGCCTTGGCGCTCTTGAGGAGACCAACGACACCGGCGACGTGGGGCGCGGCCATCGACGTACCGGCCATCTTGGTGTAGGCGTTGAACTTGCTAATGTCCACCGAGCGCGTGAAGAAGCCGGGAGCGGCAATGTCGGGCTTGATGAGGTCACGCGGCTTGCCGTCAGCGCCCGTGTACTTGGTGGGGCCCTTCGACGAGAAGAAGGCGAGATCGTTGGGGCTGTCGGTCGTCCACGAGCCGAGCGCGCCGACCGAGATGACGTTGTCGAGGAAGCCCGGGCTGCCGGTGGTGTCGCAAGCAGGGCCCGAGTTACCGTTCGAGAAGACCGGGATGATGCCGGCCTTGATCCAGGCCTGGGCAGCCGGGTAAAACCAGGTGTTCTTGCTCGAGCCGCCCCACGAGTTGTTGACAACATGCGGCGCCTTGGTGCAGTCGGCGTTCTTCCCATCGGGGTCGGTGGGGCAGAGCATGAACTGGGCGCAGGCGAGGAGCGTATCAGCCGAGCCCGAACCGTTGATGAGACCACGGCACGAGATCCACTTGGCGCCCGGGGCCACACCAATACCGTTGGCACCGACCATGGTACCGATCGTGTGTGAGCCGTGGCCGTCAATATCGGCAGGCTTCTCGACCGACTCGGCAAAGGCGTCGAACCAGCCCTTCTCCTCGCGCCAGTTGTTCTTGATGGCCTCGTGCGTGTAGAAGGCGCCCGTGTCGATCGAGCCGACAACCGCCTTCTTGCCGTTGAACGAGGGCCACACCTGCGGCGCACCGACGGTCACGACACCCCATTCGTTGGGGATAACGCCCTCCGTCTTGTCGGCATCGCCACGGATGACCTCCGGGACCGTCACGATCGGGAGCTGGTCGACGGCCTTGACGTTCTTGAGCGCCTTGAGCTTGTTGACGACCTCCTCCGAAGCACCCTTGACGACCACCGAGTTGGAGATCCAGAACGACTTGGCGTCGAGGCCAGCGAGAACCGCGAGGGCCTCCGTCTGCGTCGACGTCGCGTGGGTGACGAGGGCCTCACGGACAACGCTCGGGTCGTTCGACTCGGGGAGCGCGCGGAGAACCGGGTAAACATGGTCGAACGTGATGTAGAGATCAGCGGCGCCCTGGACCTCGAGGTCGCGGAGGACGGAGCTGGCGACCTTGGCCTGGGCGACAGCCGCAGCGGCGAGGAGCGTGATCATGGCAGCCTTCATGGTGGGAAGCTAGTAAATTGCAAAATGAAATGGGAGTTTGCAGACGTGCTCGCGAAAGAGATCTGGTTGGGTTCAACCTCAGATTTCGAGCTGCTTGGACGAGAGTGACACGCAGCTCTATCTGAGAAGGCAGAGTGGCATGTGCTGGCGAGGATGGGACCAGGCCGTAGAGACCAGACCGGCGGCGACACTCGAACGCCACCAAGCCAGGATCTGAGCATAAGATCTGATAATGAGTATTGTACCCAGAAATATGGTGCAATCTGAGTTGATTTGTTGGTGCATCGCCCGCGCCCCGCGACAGGAACGACCGATCATCTGGACAGTGGTACTCGGCCGTCGGAGTGCGTGTGCGGTCAACTCAGAGAGTTGGCAAGCAATGCACCCAGCTTTGGAGCGCTTGGCCTCGGACACGCCGGTAACTCGTTCTCAGACGCCGTAGTGCCAGATCCACACGCGCCGGCTTCCGTGTTTACTAGTCTCTCGGCATTGTTCACGCGTGACATCCAACGAATCCAACGAAAGGTCGCCAGCCTACTCGTTCGACGTTATTAGACTTGGTACTTCGACCATGCTATGGGCACGTTCTTACATGCATTTACAGTGGCGAATGGAAGTAATATTGCGCAGTGATCACTTTGGAGCCGTCTAACTTCGTGCGTTTCATGTCAACATTCACAGCTGGTATAAAGCTGAGCAAGTCCAAAATGACCACCGATATTACCAGACAGTTACTAGACAGTACCCTAAAGTTAGTTGAATGTTTCTGATCAATTTAGCGTAGAGTCGCCGAAACGAAACGCAATCATGCGAATGCACCAACCCTTCGGTTATCGTCAACAAAGACAACGCACGACACGACCGGACACAGAATGTACAGTATTGTCGCGTCACCGCGTGTACCAGGATCTCTGGAGCTGCCCCATGGCCATGGAGCATTCGGGCCGCATCCCCGAGTAGTCGCACTTGGGCTTGTTTCCAATGTCTTCCATATCTGTCAATAGTGTACAGTGAGTAGCGAGTCCGGAACGGATTTTGCGGAGCTGCATGAGCTCATGGACAGGTTAGTTGAAACCAACAAGAAGAGAATGCGACTGAAAAGACTTTAGGGGAAAGAGGAGAATGACATTGATTCACACAGTTTACGTCCACTCAAAAGAGACAGTCGACGAAAGTACACTTAGCAAGCAGGGTTGGGGTTGACCGGCTTGAGCTTGCCGTTGTCGTACATGTTGGCGACATCGACGCGGCCGAAACCGTAGCGGTTGTTGGGGAACGAGGCGTCCGAGACACCGCCGCAGTTAGGCGCACCCGGGAGCGTCGCGTTGGCCTTGCCGACCCACGTGGCCGGCTCGGGCGTCAACGTCTTGGTGTAGGCGTACTTGGTGACGTAGGCGTACACTTCCTCGAACGTCAAGTCGGCCTTGGAGCTCTTGAGGAGACCAACGACACCGGCGACGTGGGGGCCAGCCATCGACGTACCCGCCATCTTGACGTACTCGTTCGTGGCCTTGATGCCCGCCGAGCGCGTGAAGAAGCCGGGGGCGGCAATGTCGGGCTTGACAAGGTTGCGCGGCTTGCCGTCAGCGCCCGTGTACTTGGTGGGGCCCTTCGACGAGAAGAAGGCGAGGTCGTTGGGGCTGTCGGTCGTCCACGAGCCGATGGCACCGACCGAGATGACGTTGTCAAGGAAGCCGGGGTTGCCCGTCGTAGCGCAGGCCGGGCCCGAGTTACCGTTCGAGAAAACCGGGATGATGCCGGCCTTGATCCAGGCCTGGGCAGCCGGGTAGAACCACGTATCCGTGCTCGAACCGCCCCACGAGTTGTTGACGACATGCGGCGCCTTCTTGCAGTCGGCGTTCTTCCCGTCCGTGTCGGTGGGGCAGAGCATGAACTGGGCGCAGGCGAGGAGCGTATCAGCCGAGCCCGAACCATTGATGAGACCGCGGCACGAGATCCACTGGGCACCCGGGGCCACGCCGATGCCGTTGGAGCCGGCCATCGTACCGATGGTGTGGGTACCGTGGCCGTCAATATCGGCCGGCGAGTTGACCGACTGGGCGAAGGCGTCGAACCAGCCCTTGTCTGAGCGCCAGCTGCTCTTAATGGCCTCGTGCGCGACGTACGCGCCCGTGTCGATCGAGCCGATGACGGCGCCCTTGCCGTTGGTCGTTGGCCACACCTTGGGGGCACCGACGGTGTCGACACCCCACTCGTTGGTCGCCTCCGTGTTCTTGCCCGTCTCGCCACGGATGACCTCCGGGACCGTCACGATCGGGAGCTGGTCGACGGCCTTGACGTTCTTGAGC